TTGGAAGCATTCTGGGGTAGTGTAGATTCTAAATTGTTTAAATCATGATCCCAGTGGGTAGGGCAGGGCCACAATAGGGAATCCAATTTCTATATAGAAATATATAGGAAAAATCTTCTTCTCAAGAACCAGTTGGCCAGGAAAGCTGAGAACTGAAATTATCCTGGGGTAGTGTATATTTTAGATTTTCGAAATCAAGACGGGGGTTGGGGGTGCACAATAGATATAAGAAGAGGGGAAATCAGGTAAAAAACTGCATTACCAAAGTTTCTCAGGTGAGCGATGTGGCCCATGGGCCTCTTGTTATTGCTGTAAAATTTAAAAGTTGTAGGTTTTTAAGCTGTTTATTTTCGTAAAATCTAATGATTTCAGAGGAGTACTCCACTTAAGTATAGTAGCGCGATCCCTTTTTACACCCTTGGTTTACTGGTTAGATATTATATAAATATTGCATGTAGTTGAGTGTAACATTGAAAAGAAGAAGTCTCAGTAAGGCATTATCTGTGGTCCCCGGTTACTCGTCAAATTTTAAACTTTCATTACAAATTCTTAAAATGTAAATTATATTATTCTCTCATGTCTGTAGTATTTGCGTCAACGTTTAAAAATGTCAAATGATTAAAATAGACAACACGCGAAGCTGTGTTTTGAAGGTGGGGTCCTTTGATTTTCATGAATATCAAAAGAAATTTGTGACAGGTACCTACTTCTCAGCTTTCGTAAACATCGAGCGCAGATTTGTTCAAAGTCGAGATTAAAATATAATATGTATATTATATTTATACAGATTGTTTGAAAATATCTTTGTTGAACAACCTTGCGCTCTATGTTTTCTACTTAAAAGTATCATGATTTTGAATCTGTTTGGTGAGTACATTTACATAAGATTAACCTCTTGTTGACCTGCCAAGAATAGATAATATGTCACGTGATTCCATACCGCCACAGGTCAATACCTCCGGAAAGCGTGTTTTCTCTCTGAAGTGACACATGTAGCTCGTATTTGAAAAGTGCAGTCACCAGCTTTTATGTTTAAAATTCAAAACAAGGTTCTATAGACTTCGAAGACTATCACTCATGTTAAAGTTCAAATGATGTTTTTCATGGACAAATTTTAATTCTCATACATGTAATCGCAATTTTCCTGGGCATTGCGAACAACACAATAATATACGAGTAGATGTATATAAATACACATTAAATCAATTTCTTGCGAAGAAGAAACAAACAAGCAAAAATACCAAAGATGTTACAATTTCTTCACATTTAATCAGTCTACAAAACAAATGCACTGTACTGACTATTTCAATATTCAAAGCAATATAAACTCGGAAAAATTTCGAATGTATTTTAAATGCAACGAAGTAGATGAATATTGAGTTTGAATTTCATTTACCAATCTTATTTATTATAAGATTCCTTATGAAGTATAATAATTATGTTTTTATTATTCAACAACTGTTTTTGAAGTGATTATGCATATGTATATTACGCGATTTGTTCACGTCATGTATATTTTAAACAATAATCGATAAGTAAATGGGAATATTCATTGCGGAATTTAGAGCAAAATTAAGAAATAAATATACATGTCAGGCATGTAGCATCAGGGGAGGGGTGATCCCTTCCTTTCAGAGATAAATCTTTAGTTCTTCACCCACACCAAAAAAACTTTCTTACGCCTTTAGGCAGGTACGATATGAATAAACAAACATTGAAATTGTTGTTTTATTTTTCAAATAAAAATGAGTAATAGTTTGATTCCCACTCCTACATAATCGATTTTTTCAAGTTTGGAAGAGTTAACTCTTTTTCTTTTGCTTTATCAAACTTCTGTTCAGGTTTATTGTTTATTTTTTCTCAGCCCCCCCCCCCCTTTTTTCAAAGGAAAGGTAATGTATTTCTGTGTGTATTTACCGTCATTTATTATTCGATCGCTTGTACTTTTAAAATTGTCATATGGAAGAAAATTAATATAGTGGTTAATATATTTGATAGATGCATTTATAGATTAATAAAATCAGACCAAAACTACCCCAAGAACAAAAAGAAGACCCCTCACCCACGCCAAATTTAGAAGAATACGAATAGTGCAAAATAAAATTCAAGCTTCTAACCCGTACATTGTTAATTATTTCTTATCTCACGCTAACGCTCGATCAACATGTCTAAAAAAAATGCCGGAACATTTTTTTCCCATCAGACCACGTTTTTCTTTTACATGGAAATGGGCGGAGACATTTAGATGAGATACTATAAAAAGAATATACGTGATATATGATATTTTCCTTTCAAAGAAAAGACGAATTATATGTTCAAGATTCACAATAAACTACAAATACAATTTTCAATTTAAAAACGAAACACTTATTAAAATCAAGATTAACCAAACACGTCCATGCTGACCGATATAAAACTGTCGGTGAGTACTTTCAACTGAGCGCTAGCTAGCACGTTTACTGCAGGCATTTACCCGTAACAACACCAATCCACGTGCCTTGTTATGATTCTAAATAGGTCATAAAGAGGTTAATTGCATGTAAATGAAGACAACGAAGAGGTTCAAAATCACAAAATTTTAATTAGAAAACATAGAGCACAATGTTGGTCAACAAAGATATTTTAACTCCACCTTTACACATATAATATACACATTATATATCAAACTCGACTTTAAACAAACCTGTGCTCGGTGTTTACGAAAGCTTTAAAGTGTGTACCTGTCAATAATTTCTTTTGATATTCATGAAAACCAAATGACCCCAACTTCAACACGCAGCTTCGTATGCTGCATACATCTATTATTTGACATTTTTGGATGATGACTCATATAATAAAGACATAAGTTAATAACAAAATTTAATTTTTAAGGCTTTTGAGAAATGTTCGAGATTTGACGAGTAACCGGGGGGCCACAGATAAGCCTTATTGAGACTTGTCCTTTTCCAAACGTTCCTTGGGATTTTTAAATTTCCACATTTGATTTACATCACTTTTGGAATATATTGTTGCATTTCTCCTTCAACGCTGTTAATATTTTGGTGAAGGTAAGAAAGAGGCTTGTTTGAACATTTACTGGAACCCATATGTATCTTTATAAGGATTTTTTTTTAAGTTTTGGAATTCAATATAGATATGGTAAGTAAAATACATTTTGTTTGTTTAGGTTATCAAAAATATTTAAAGCTGACATGTAATTTTGAAGAATGTCTTCTTTAGAAGGGGAACTATGGGTCCAAGTTATTCTAAATACAAGTAATATAATGGGCCTTACAAACAAAGACTATGTTGTTACATGTACCTGCTTTGTCAGCAGGGACCAGTAGGTACTGATCATGTAATCTCTCAAATTCGTTTTTCACTTCTGGCTTATTGAATAGAGAAGAATATATGGTTTTCAATTTTTTCAAATGCGATTGTAACATAGGCGAAATCTTCTAAAATATCCATAATATTTATGACATTTGGACGCCAGTGAAAGATCGGAATTCCCTTTATATAGAACCGTTTAAAATAAGTGATCTTAAGTCTTCATCATTCACTATATTTACGTCACGTGCAATAAAGTGTCCAGCAGGACTATAGTTATAGGCTGAAGAACATGAGAACTATAGAGTTCACATTCTAGTATTCGGTATCCAGGCCCTGTAAAGTTTTCTTGTAATTAAAGTTGGAAGCAATAGTCGATGTCTATAGGAAATACAAGGTATTGTCTTGATAACTTGAAATATAGTGGAATGCAAGACTAAAACCCTTTTGTGATTAAGAATATTACATATATTACATATATTAACCGCATCAATTCCTTTATTGGCATATTGAAGGTTAAGAAAAAGACCACTGCATTTTCTTCAGTAAAATGTTGGAGTTTCAAAAGCCTATATGATTTCCAATATCAAAGATAGAATGGCAGTGTCTATGTTTTGCTATGGGAAAACAAAGATATGTGTCAGATCAAAAGGGAAATTAGAGGGAGCATAATGACACAATGTAACAAAGAATCTTTGGAAGTCTCATTAAATATATTCGGTTGTATATGAGGAAATATGGACATTGTACCAAAATGTATAATAGTCACGTTTATATTGAAGGAATCTACAGAGAACGAACTTTTTATAGTCACTGTGCTTATGATATAGGTATCAGGAACCATTAAATGAAAACACTAAAATATTCTGGTATCTTCCTCATTTATATATTCTAATCTTATCCTAAACTAATTATTCATTTTTGACAAGCTTTTTGTGTGTGTTAAGGACAGACGAGACGTTTCTCAATAATATATAATTTTTTCTAAGCCTTTGTCATTGAACAAATACTACTTTAACATGTTTACTCACAAAATATTGAGGTCCCTTACCAGGCATTTGTGCGAGATACCAGATGATGTCATTTCTTTTATAATCCTTTAGGGAAAATATTTTTTGTCGAAATCAAATTGTTGGTGTTTCAACTTTTTAAAACCAATTAGAAACACTGACTAAAATTTTGTATATTTTTCATACTTTGTGAAGGTATACAAAACAGAAATTTGGGGAATGTATCGTCTGACCTTAAAATACATATAAAATTTTCTTTCGATACCTGGAATATTGGTTTATGTTAAAAAATTACGTTTTTACAGATGTTTTTTTTCTGCAGACACACGCCTCGCTGTGATTCAAACAATCTCAAAGATTAATATTCTTAATAACAAATACATTTATATTAACAACGTCTTTAAATAAAACAAATTACACGCTAAATAGAAACTTAAATGTCTTTTCGGAAGCTTGTTCTTGTTGCTTTAATCGTTTAAGGAAATACTTAAGCTGAGTGTCTTTGTCATTTGTTGCTAAGATAAACGACAAGGAGTTAAACAAGATGTATGATATACAATCACTCAGTGACAATAATGGACAGTAAAAGCTTGAAATAATTCCAATTCAATTTAGATATCGTTTCATATCTAAAATCCGAGCGATGTACGAGGATATTCTAACATTATGTAAATGGCTTACCCATTTTACAGTAGGTATGACCGTTGACGACATACTTCTGTGGATTACCAGGACAATGAGCTGTACCGTCTGGTCCATAGTAACCCTCAGAACAGTACGCCTTGTACGTTATCTGGATACTGAAATAAATAAAAAATAAAAGCTGTTTATGGAATCACTGTAATTTTTTCCTACATATTTTTATATTAAACATGTATATTTAGATAACTTTTGATTGATTTATAGAGATGTAAGATATGGAAAGACTAAGATAGATTTTTTTGTATCCTATATACTTAAAAGTTTTTAAAAGTACTGTACCTGATACTTATAAAAATTCTTACAAAAAAGAGTTTTTATCCAACAAATAATTTGCTGCCAATTTCTTTTGTCGCCAGTGTTGTGACAGTATGTTGTCTACAAACTGAAGATTGGAATCAGAGAACTCTGTTTGGTATATGAGTGGTGACGAGGAGTGTTGTAAATCTACCACTCTCACTGATATCTTGTCCAGATATTTGTCCTGAGTTTAAAACATAACAAAAGTTATTGAATTTACCTTACTGTCTTAGAAATGAAAAACAATGTTATTCTTGTGTTGATATTTTTGTTGTTTTAATAAGATTTACCCATGAATCAACTTCTAAAAACTGTAGGCCGGTTGTATTCCCGACTGTAGAACCATAGAAGACGTCTTGTCGCCTCATGTGTAACGTTGTGGTAAAACTATCCGCACAGGTGTGACTACTGTTTCTGTAGCAATAAAACATGAAATCATTAAAATACTAGTATGTGTGCGAATGTACAGTATATTATCAAAGTGAGAAAAGTCAAACATCACTTACATAAGACGTACAGTGAGTACAGGTTTACACAACTTGGTACAATGGTTACCGACTACTCCCTGACAACACCCTCCTCCGTGAAGTTTATTACCAGGACTCTTCACTTCATCTATGTGTATGAAGAACGTTATCTTCCCAGTTGTAACCTAGAAAAAAATATATCTACGGATTTTTCGTTTGCATAATCATAATCATGACAAGGAACACAGAGAGGTACGTGTGGCCAGTCGATAGGTATGCTAATTCTAACTCCTTCATGAAATTTAATACCACCTCTGAGTGGTTTTTTGGTGGGGGTATGAACTCCCAATTTGTGTTGTTTCAATAGATTTTAGATATCACTGTTCAAAATTGTAAAATTTTATAAAGGACAAGTGCACTTAGGCAATGCTTAATGGGCTCTTTTTATGTGCCATTTTACTTAAGAACATATGACCAAATCGTTCTCTTTTGGGTATAGTTAGATACTAGTGGATATTTCTAATAAAAAAGCACGTTAAACATCACCTAAAATAGCATGGAATTGAAACAATTGACTATTTTTAAATGCCTATGGATACCCTAAATCCGGAAAAATCGTACCGAGCCTTCTTTCAGTTTCGTTTAATATGTAAATCAAGACGAAGAAATATCTAAACCGACACTTGAACTATCTGATGGTGGATCATAATCGGGAGCGTTTTTGGAATGTTACATTTTGTGCTAAATCTGTTTTTAGAAATTGAATGAAGTTATGTAGTTGCCTGTAGCCATAATGATCAAACTAAACAATGGTACTCGTGTATTTGAAAAAAATTACCAAAATAGTTTCATTGAATTTGAAATTAAAAAAGAGTGTTTGGGTGATTTTCAATACCTGTTTCACTGTCTTGCATGAATGTAAAAAAATGACACTTTTATGAATGGCTCTTAACTCTCTTTACCCTCCCGTGATCTTAAAAACAAATACATACAAATATTTCTAAACGGCACGACTTTAACTAAATGATACAAAACCTGCCGATGTTTTACAGTGAGCGCCTTTGATGAATGTTTACCTGGGTAGAACTCACTTGACTATAAGTATTTTAAATAAATTATTCCACACGTGGGTTCAACATGGGTCATACAGGTAAATAGCTCTCACTTGCAATAGGAAAAACCTTGTACTTTTTGTACATTTTTAATATTCTAAATACCAGCCTAATCGTGTACAAATTTCTTACTTTCACAGAAGTTTTATAAATGTATTTTGCGTCTTTTTTCATTTGCACAAGTTTGTACAAAGTTAGGCTCATAGTAAAGAAAAGCTTTGTTCTCGATTTACTATGGAAAAAAATCACAAATGTTTGCTGACCCCCTGCCACATTCTAATGATTTTGTTCTTTGTATATTCGTGAATCTCATCGGTAAAATTTGTTGAATCGTACGATTTAGATGTCAATTAATTATTTGGGATGACAAATTTTGCTGAATTTGAATATTTATTTTTTCACATTTTACCGGGGCCCATAAGTGCACGCGTTCTTTTTTGGAAACAAAGAGGTTGTTGCAGAAACTCGCGATTATTCTCTAAACAGAGGACATAACTACACTATGAAAGTGTTTTAAAGGCCGGTATACACGGTAAGATTTGTATTATAAGATTTGTATTATAATACAAAGTCTTACTGTGTATACACTCTTAATACAGTGTATCATACGATTTTTCGAATCTTGTAAAACTGTATTAAGAATAGGGCAATGCTCTATTTCTTAATACAAGTCTAAACTTACCTTTCACTTTCAACCAATCAAATCTACTCCTATTTGGGGTCATCCTATTTATATCATTACTAAAAAAAGCACATGGTAAATAATAATGGCCGACTTTACAAGTGAAGACATCCAAAAATTCGTGGTTTTATTGAAAGGGGAAGAGGACTTGTGGAATAGATCAAGCAGTAGCTTCCACAAGAAAGATGCTAGAAGCAGAGCTTATTATTATCATTTTTATTATTTTGACAGAGAGAGAGAGAAATATGGCAGGAGAAAACACGTGGAAATAATAGTTTATTTACAATCTTATAAGATATGTATTAGCGTGTTTTCAAGAAAGTTTTATAATACAATTTTCCTGTACTCACGTTAATACATATCTTATAAGATTGTAAATAAACTACGTATTCCAATGTGTTTTCCCCGCCATATTTCTCTCACTGGCAAAGTAATAAAAACGGAGGATGAGGCTCTGATAGCTCTTCCCATTAAGACACGAGTTTTTCGATGTCTTTACTTGTAAAGTCAACCATTATTATTTACCATGTGATTTTTTTTAGTTATGATAAAAATAGAATGACCCCAAGTGTCATTACATTTCATTGGTTGAAAGTGATAGGTAAGTTAAGACTTGTATTAGGAAATAAAGCATAGCTTTATTCTTAATACAGTTTTATAAGGTTCGAAAAATCTTATGATACACTGTATTAAGTGTGTATACACAGTACGATTTTGTATTATAATACAAATCTTACCCTGTATACCGACCTTTAGTGTCACTTGAACACTTTTTATGTCGCCCCGAACGAAATCGAAGATGGCTGGGACAATATACCTGAAACTTTCCTTAAAGGACGATCACTGGTTTTAATTATGTTGTGTGGTCATTCATTTTCAAAATGGCTACAGTTGCCATGGAAACCTGCAAAAAGCGACGAATTTTGTCCGCGAATGCTCTCTCTGGTCCCTTGAACATTCGTCATGAAACTTTTTTTTTCATTTTAGTGATTAGTAGTTGTAGTTATGCGATTTGCATTTAAAATGTTCAAATAATCGATTATTACCATGGAAACCAGGGGAAAGTGAAAATTCTTTAACTTTGATTTTTTATTTATTTTTCATTTTCTACACACTTTAATCTGTAAATTTTACACTTTTTTCTGTAACTTGTAAACTTTAACTGTGATAGAAAGTGAGAACACTAGATGGGTAGTCAGCAGTAATCAATGACACAAAGCAATTCAGGTTTAAATGTCCAAGCACCAGGTTGTTCATTTACATACAGTTGTATCTTATGCAATGAACTTGGGTACTTTGTGGAAATGGACTTCTGTCTCATAATGTTTGTTTGTTTGTAAATAATTGTTTCAATTTAGACTTGCTATGAAAGATAAATTATCGATACTCAAAATATTTAAATAGAGTTAACACTACAAATGACAGAATGTGAACGCATTGAAAAATGAAATAATGTAGAAATAATTCATAAAATATACATCGCAACATTGTTTGAAGACTAATTATTTACTTCCAAACCAATAGTTTCAGGCAAAACAAAAACAAACAAACAAAAAACAAAAAAACCCTAAACAAACAAACAAAAAAAAAAGAACCCCCACAGTATTCGAACCTAACATGATGTTCGATGCGACTCGAGTCCAGCGGCAAACAAATGTAGCTACCCAGGATACTTTACATAAAAGGAAATTTAATTGTTAATTAAAGCCAAAGTCCCGTACAGTTAGACTTAGTCAATTTTCTCTCAGGAATTAAATTTCTCCATTTTAAAAAACGGAAGTAAATTTTACGGTTAAAAATACATTGATAGCGCTTATCAGACTCAAAAAACAACAAAATCAATGAATAACGGCTTTTAAAGAGCCGATTTTGCATCATTTCATGCATGTAAGGCTACATTTAGGTACATACATGTATTCAAATAAAATCAAACAAAATCAACCGAATATTTGCCCATTGTACATTCAGCAACATCAAAGTTGATGGCTAAGGTTTTGAAAAAAATTGTATAGATCAATGCTAATTTTTATTTTCTTTTAATACGCAACTATACCTGCCAAATCGCCTTCTAAAGAGCCCACATTCTTTACATTTTTTCATTTTTGTAAAACTTCATTCGTAAAATTACACTGTAATCTGTAAATTTTACATATTAATTCCTAAAATGGTACACTTTTATATATTATACATTAATTCCTAAAATGTTACACTTTTATCGGTATGATTTAATTAAATTTTTTCTGTTTAATTCACATAATCATTGATGCAACTACGGGCATCTTAAATAACACACTTAAACACAATGAAGGAGATAAATGTGATATATGGCCCCCGGTAAATTGACAAAAAATTAAATGTTCAAATTTTATTCTATATTTTGCATGCAACTTACAACTCATATGTTTACCTAATAAAATACTACTTTTAACAACAATGGAAACGTAATTTGGATGAATAGATCTAGATGATATGGATATAGAGACCCTTCTTTGATGCCCTTGAAATATGTGAGCACTAGGAGGTAAATTTTTATTGTATTTATTAAAATCACCCTCACAATTTTAATGATTTAGAGTAAAAAAACTGCATTGATTTTCATTTGATATAGTTTATATTTACTTATTATTGCATAAAATTGCATAAAAGTATACGTTGCCATATTATTGAGGATGAGAGACATAGATAAATAGAAGTTTAGGTCAAGATAAGAAATGGAAAAAGAAGGATACACTTGCTGTGGCCTTAAACTCGACATTTAGATATATCAAACATGTATAAATTGTCAATTAATAATGGTAACTTCCATTCTTATGTTGATACGATATATCATAGAGAGCTTCAGATAAAAGATACCACAGATTCGGATTTAACTGTTTAATATTTGGATGTTTTACTTCCAAAAGACTTTAATAGTAACATTTTTACATCCACTACATGTTTTCTGCTTTATTTCTTATGAAACCCCATTGTCGTTAATCAGTGCATAAACAACATTGAGCAAGCCAGGTGTGTAGTTTTCTAGAACAATGGCTGTTCCATTATTTCTATATACAATGACATATACATTTTAAAAAAACAAAAGATAACAAAATTAATTTCACTTTGAATGAATTTAATACAGATGTAAATATACACAATAAAATGTTTTCTTTGTTTGTTATAACGGAAGTTATCGTCGCAGCTATTGTAGAATAAAATGACACGGTTACGCTTACGCGGGTTATGTATTTTTTTCCTGCAATAGCTGAGACATTAATTCCCGTACTAACAACCAAAGAAAGCATTTTATTATTTAACTAACAACCAAGCTCTATGATAAACGCGAAGACTTAAACTTTTCTTACGTCAATTTCCCTTACTTCTGCAATAATATACCTTCATCACCTGCATGCGGAGTTTACATATCTCAGTTGATTCAATACGCAAGAGCATGCTGTAGGTATGAACAATTTCTAAAATGAGGTAAATTATTAACAAGCAAGTTGATAAATTCGAATATCAGCTATATCGTTTAAATCATCATTTCGTACCTGTAAGTTCTTTGGTCGATACAATGACCTTGTCAGCAAATACAATTTATCATTGAGTTAAATGCTGATTGACGTTTTCATAGTTATTGTTAATCCATTATTTAAGGGGTGTTAAGAAAGTTCGTTCCATGATGAAACATTTTCAAAAATTTCAAAGTAGTGCTTCACTAAAGAGATATATTTCCAAGTCTGATAAAATCCCAAGAATTTGCGTTAGATTTATAGCAATTCATTTCTAGTAGGAAGATGTGGAATTTTTCTTTCATATGAAAATATATCTGACATCTTTAAAGCACTGGAATAATAGAAATGCTGGTCATTTTGAGTGAAAATAAAGGATAATGTACTTTCGTTTCTTCACATCTTATCATGCATCCAACAAGCTGATGAGCATAGGTATAAGAACAATAGAACACTTTTCAAAAGAATAGGTTTGTCATTTTGAAATTGTTCACCGACTTGATAATTTTTGCATATAGTATTTGAAAGGATGTTTTGACCAGTGTGCTTAATACATGTCACAAATATACGGCATCCCTAATTTTTCTGAACAGACATCAACAGTTTTAATACCTGCCCTCTCCTTGTTGATTCAACAAAAGACAGTTAAAACTTTATCAGTAGCAAGAATGAACTCTGTAAACATGAAATATCACAAATTGTAAATATCTTCTCATCATATTTCTTTTTGAAATAAAAGAAAAAGGTGGAATGAACTTTCTTAACACCCTTTATATACTGAATTGACGATAGACTTTTCCAATATTTCCTGATCTTGACAAGAAGTACACCGCGGGTGTGTCCGGTCGGGAGGGGAATGCTGACCCTTCCATAGCACCTGAACCCATCTTGGAGGCCTGTGTTAATTTGCTCTGCTGCTATTTGGTCTTGTTTTATAGATTTTTAATCTTGAATATTGTTCGTTTTCTCCAAAAAAAATACCGAACCCGATGCGCGGGAGAGACGTCCTCTGTAAACAGTCCAGCTAAAATCAAAACAACCAGTGATATACTGAATACAAAGACCATGAGACTGCAGCCGTGATAGCCCACATAAGTTATTT